AGCCTCCATTCGCCTCGGCGATTTCCCCTGATGCCGGCCGGTCATGACGTTTTTGATTCGCGCCATCATTTTCTCCTTTTTTCGCCCGCTCCGAAATCGCCACGTCGTCGCCTTTTCCTGCTTTTCGGATCTTTACGCGATCGCCAGGTTGATCCGCGGCTACTGGCGATTCCCGTTTTTTTACTTCGGGGGTGCTCCACTGTTTCCGTCCCGGAGTGCCGCACGTGCTTTCTTCATTTTGTAGCACGACAAAAACTGATGCCCTGCTGCGCCGCAAAATTCGCATTTTGTCGGTTGCTGCTTCGCGTTGTATTTGTGGATATCCATCGGTTCGGCGAACGTGGGGGGTGCCGATCGCTCCGTGCCAAATGTACGGTTCGGCGTGAAGCGTCGTGTTTGGGGTTGACCTCGAGTCAGCGCATCGTATCGCTCGGCAGCACGCACGATGTCCCTGTAGCTGTTGTAATTCGCCGCAATCACCTGCCGCCGAATCTCCATTTTTAACCCTTCGGTGTACGCCTGGATTTTTTCGCCTTCGGTCAGGTCGGTGATGCGGTTGAACAGTAACTCCATCTGCTGCGTGTACTGTGCTACACTACTGTATTGCTTGTGTCGGTGTATCTGCTGCCGCGCCATGTAGGTCGTATTAATTGGTTCGAAACGCTCGATTAAATCTGCCCGAAACTGCTGCCACGTTTTCTCCCCGCGGGCTACGTCGGTGTAGTGAATCCATTCGAGAGCCGGTCCACGTAACAGTGTCGCTGCGAGCCGAATCCTTGCTGCATCGTGTTGCGGGGTCGAACAGCCAATGGCCTCGAAGTAAATTTCGAGGGTGGCCACAAATCGCCGGACGTCGGATCCCTTCGCGCTTGGATCGAACGCCTCAGGGAGCCTCGGTCGTGCTGCTTCGAGGTTCGGCGACAGTGGTGCCATCGGTCCGTGAAATGTCGGTGTCGCCACTGCTGCTGGAGTTGTCGGTGCTGCAGTCGCTGCGGTCGCTGCTGCTGCGGTGGCGAACCCTGGTTGGCTTGTCAGAAAAGCCTCGAGTCGACGAAGCGTCGCCTGCGTCTGCTCCATGTCGGTGCGAAGGCTCGCGATGTCGCTCGTGGTCGCGTAGTTGTCGCCTTGGCCTTCCATGCCTGACATCAACGCGTCCGAAAAACCGAATCGAGGGGGAGCGAAAAACACGGAACCGGTTTTACGTACCCGAAATCGATGTTTAACTGTGTCGCCCCCGCGGTTTTTTGAAGACTGGTTTGTAGCGGTCGAAAGAACTTCGCGTGTAAACGGGCTCTGATTACCAAGTGTGAGGATCTAGGATCGAGCTCAGAAAAGAGAATGTGAATTGAATTGAATGATCACCTGGGTACAACACGAGGCTATATATAGGCTCGACACAAGGCCCCGTAACCAGGTGTTACGCGAAGGTTCCGCGGGTCGCGAAGCGTCCCGAACAGATCCTTCCCGAATTCGGTAGAAGGCAATTCGGTGGCAACCGAAAAGCCAGAATTCGGTGCACGCAACCTAGCTCGGTGCTATAACTATAATAAAATACAGGAAAGCACCTAGCCTAGGAAATCAAGCAATTCATTCATGCATATAATTTTCCTATGCTAGAAATAGCATAATAAAGTAAAGGCAAGCAAGCATAGCTGGCATAAGCCGTCGTACTCTCACAGGTACCGTTTCAACAGTTCCTGTAGTTCGGGCGGTACTGCTGCCAACAGTTTCTGAAAATCGCTCGGCTTCTCCGCTTCTCCTACTACTGCGATGTCTACTGCGTACACGTCAGCTCCAGCAGCGACAGCCCGTTTCATTGTGATAGCGTTGGCGTGTACCGTTGAAGACTCGGGCGACTGCCAGCGAGGTAGCTCGACCCAGTTACCACTACTTCGCACGGTGCAGCTACCCGTCGTCCAGTCAATTCGCGGGTTATATCGTCGCAGCCAATCACGTCCCAGTAAAATATCGTGCCCATCCAGTGTCGTTGCGAGCATTTCCTGTGCAAACCCGAAATTTCCCCCGCAGCGGACTTTGACTCTCTCTACCTTTTCCCGTATGGCCAGTGGCGTGCCGTCGACTAAGCGTGCGTCTATCTCCGGTAAGCAACGGCTAAGTGTCAGCTGCAGTTTTCGTGCGGTTGCGGTATTAACTAGACTGTGGCTTGCTCCTCCGTCGATAAAAATCTTCACTGCTGCTCCCTGTATTTTCCCGTGGATCAGTACTGGGCAATCCGTCGCTGTACCCTCCTTATTCATCCGAGCCCGATCGATTACGTGAATCGGAACTGTGACTCGGTGAGGGTCGGTGCGGTTGGGCGAGCAGGCAGTCTCGTCAGTAGTTGGCCCAACTTCTACTGACTGCTGGCGTTTCCCTGCCTCTGAGACTCCCTTCCCTGCTCTGCTCCGCGGCGCCTTAGCTCCTCTGGGCATTCGCTCTTGCGATGGCCCGGCCTGTTGCAAGCAAAGCAGCGCCCCTTAAACGGTGCGGCAGCTGCATTCGTTGCAACAGCGTTTACAGTGGCGTGCTCGATCGGTCCCCGAGGACGATGTCCATAGTAGGACCCCGGTCTCGGACGGCGTAAAATGTCGATTTTCTCGGCGAGCGCGAGAATCTCGTTGAAGTTCGAGAGCCCGCGTAGCATGATTTCGTGCGAGATGTCCGGCTTCAGCCCTCTGACGTAACGGTCCACCCGCTCCGCTTCGTGCATGTAGCCGACTTGCTCGCAAAGTGCGAGAAAACCGCTCGTGTAATCTTGAACCGATCCGAGCTGCCGCCAAGTGCGCAATCTCTGACGCGCCGAAATAGAAGCCGCGATCGGCTCGAAGCGCGCCCGAAGCCCTGCGCACCACGCATCCCACGTGCTGTATTGGGCGGTCTCGCAGAATGAACTCCAGGTGACAGCTGGACCCGTGGGCCCTTCCTCTTGCAACGGTGGCTCGTAGGCGCGTGGCGACGTCACGATGACTCGCCACCAGTCCATGGCGGGGCCCCTTAGCAGCGAAACTGCATACCGAATCTTCGCTGCGTCCGACTCGACGTAATTCGCGTCGAAGAAGACGTTCATCGTGAAGACCCACGATTGAACCGTCGGACCTCCACGCTGGCTCGGGTCGAAGCAGGGCGGGCGTTGCGGCTTGAGTGGCATTGGTGCCATGATGGCCTGTTCGCCACTTGTCGCCGCGAACTCCACGTGCCGACGGGCTTCGCGAGGCTCCCGCGGGCTTGGTGCGACCCTGTTTCCTCCCATGCACGTGCCGACGGGCTTCGCGAGGCTCCCGCGGGCTTGGTGCGACCCTGTTTCCTCCCATGCCAGGCATCGGCTGGGCGGCGCCATCGCTGGCTGCGCCTGAGCGCTGTCCCACGCTGTTGTTTTGTGTTGGTGTGCCAGACGAGATGACGATCGGCTCGTCTGATTGTGCAGATGCATTTGTCGGTGCGTGTGGTGGCGCTGGAGTGTTCATCGTTGATTGCTGACGCGCGGAGTCACGTTCCGCCGTGAGCGTCGCAATTTCGAGCGCCGAATCTTCGAGTTGGCGCACCAGACGGTCGAGCTGCTTCTGCGTCAATGTGGCGAGCGTGAATTCGGCCATGGCGGGGGTGTCGGGCGAGCTCAGCGAGAGCCTCAGTCGTGGCCGTGCGTGCTTACGAGAGAGCACTACGAGCGGCGGTGCTGTGTCGCTGAGGGACGTCTACCCCCCCCAAAATTGAGATAGTGGGGAAGCGAAGGTGTGGGTGCGGTCCGAGAAGAGATCGTAGGCTCTGAATACCAAGTGTTACGAGTGCAATTGAGTGAACGAACGAGAATTGCACTATCGAAGCAAGAGTACAATGAGCGAAGGCATGAGCGAAGAATATATAGCGAAACTACAGTGGTAACGGTAATGGACTGTGGTTGTCGCGCGACGGGCCTGGGACTGAGGTTGGGAAAAGTGTCGAAGCGGAGGCCCGGAGCGCGGGTTACCCGCCGAGCCGTGAGGTCGGGGTGCGACGTGCGAAGGTGGCGGGCAGATTGTCGATGCGAGGGTTGCGAGTGGTAACGGTGCTGACTGTGGTGCTACAGTGATGTACGCGTTGAGCAGGGATGCGAAGTAAGGAAAAGGAATTTTCCTTACAGGATCCTATTGCGGGACCTGTTCACAAAATATGTATCAATTTCTGTATAGCTATATTATACTACTTTACATATACATGTCTGCCAACAGAAAAATGGGTATCAAGCCAAGCTTCTAGTCCAGTCCCTCCACAAGGGTGCATGCAGTTCAAGGAGCTTCCTGGAATACACTCGTAAGTGATGATATGCTTTTGGGCGGTTCTGAAATGATGTCTCTATCCAACTGTAATGGCGATCAGGGTCACGTTTCATTCTGAAATGATGCCTCGCTGGCAGTCCTTCCTTGCCCACACTGCTGCCAAAGAAGAGCGCATAGCCAGCGTGGGCGGGTTTGACCTGGACGAGCCACATCGCATGCCCAGCTGCGAGGCGGAGCAGGCTTTAAAGGCGGAGCAGGCTTTGAAGGCCGAGCAGGCTTTGATGCTTCAGAAGCGCTGCACGTCGTGCGCCTCTGTGAACCACAGGAAGACTGAACGGGGGGGAACGGCAGGGGGAGCGGGAAGCATCAGCCTCCAAGGCTGCACGTCGTTAGTCTTTGGGAACCACTCAACGACTTGAATGGGGGGAGCAGGGCAGTAAATGGGGCTTCCACAGGTGTACTCCCCCGCTCCAGTGGCTCACTGGGTTGCCCTGCAGGAACCCAACCATCACTGGCAGCGGCTGTAGGGGGGATCGGGAGAGGTGAGAACGGATGTAGCGTGCAGAGCGGTGGATGGGGCTTTCACAGGTTGACCGCCCCGCTCCAGTGGCTCACTGGGTTGCCCTGCCGGAACCCGACCATCACTGGCAGCGGCTGCTTGGGGTGTGGAAGGGCAAGGACGGACGCAGGGATGCAAAGGGGTGACAAGAGATTCCACAGGGTGAATTACCCCCCTCCGGTGGCTCACTAGGAGGGGCTGAGGGGGAGGGAAGAGAGGGTGTGAGGGCAAGTACGGCATGAGAGGGACGTATTGGGGAAAGACCATGAGCGGGACGTATTGGGGAAAGAACATGAGAGGGACGTATTGGGGAAAGAACATGCGAGGGACGTATTGGGGAAAGAACATGCGAGGGACGTATTGGGGAAAGAACATGCGAGGGACGTATTGGGGAAAGAACATGAGAGGGACGTATTGGGGAAAGAACATGAGAGGGACGTATTGGGGAAAGAACATGCGAGGGACGTATTGGGGAAAGAACATGAGATTGGGGAAAGAACATGAGATTGGGGAAAGAACATGAGATTGGGGAAAGAACATGAGATTGGGGAAAGAACATGAGATTGGGGAAAGAACATGAGATTGGGGAAAGAACATGAGATTGGGGAAAGAACATGAGATTGGGGAAAGAACATGAGATTGGGGAAAGAACATGAGATTGGGGAAAGAACATGAGATTGGGGAAAGAACATGAGATTGGGGAAAGAACATGCGATTGGGGAAAGAACATGCATGAGAAGTGCATCAAGCAAGGTGTGTGCGCCTGACGCGGGTGCAACTGGAAGTTGTGGAATCACAACAGCTCCCAGCTCCCACCAGCTCCCACCTGCTCCCACCAGCTCCCACCAGCTCCCACCTGCTCTCACCAGCTCCCACAATCACAACAGCTCCCACCTGCTCTCACCAGCTCCCACCTGCTCTCACCAGCTCCCACAATCACAACAGTTGTGGCGTGTGTGGTGCGTGCCTGGTGTGTGTGGTGCGTGCCTGGTGTGTGTGGTGCGTGCCTGGTGTGTGTGGTGCGTGCCTGGTGTGTGTGGTGCGTGCCTGGTGTGTGTGGTGAGTGCCTGGCGTGTGTGGTGAGTGCCTGGAGTGTGGTGAGTGCGCAGTGCGTGTGCTGGTGAGTGCCTGATGTATGCCACACTCGGATTCAGAACACCTAGATTCTTTTCACGACCCCATACTGCCTTCCAACGCCTTCAGCAAGAGCATGGTAGCAGCAAATATGTTTGCGAGTACAGAATAACCAAAGGAGCACCCAGTTCCACTACCAACCCCGCTCACAGCACACACGCCCACCTAACCCTTTCACCCACACACACCACCCAACCCCCCCCACACACATACCTCTCCCAGCAGCATCACCAAGCCTGAACTACAAAGCAACCGATTTTGCAAACCGTGCCACAGTTGAAGCAGCAGCATTGACAGAAGGGACCTCAGCAACAGCAGAAGCACCAGCAGATGCAGTAGCAGAAGCACCAGCAGCAGAGGAGGCAACAGCAGCAGCAGGAGCAGCGTATGGAGTGCCTTGTCTGCCGCTGCAGAACCCCACTGCACCGTGCAGAACCCCACTGCACCGAGCTGCTACCAGCAGCAGCAGGTACCATACCAGCTGCGCTGCTGCCCTGCCTGCCGCTGCCCAACTCCACTCCGCCGTGCCTCTCACCCCTCCCATCTCCCATCTCCCATCCTCATCTCCCATCTCCCATCTCCCATCCTCATCTCCCATCTCCCATCTCCCATCTCCCGCTTAGACCCCCTTCTTCATGGTCTTGAGGATGGAGCTACCGCCCGCCTGCAGAGCGCCCTTGGCGCCCTTGCCGCTGCTGCTGCCCGCGTTCGCCGAAGCCTTGAGCGGCTTCTTAGGCTTCCAGACAAACGGCTTCCCAGCCATCTTCAAGCCTCCATACCGCCGGTTCCTCTCCTTCAAATGCTCATTGAATGCCTTCATCCGCTCCCAGAACTCCGGGCCCTGCAGCACCCTCACCTGCTGCATCTGCTCCTTCACCTGTTTCCAGCTCTGCAGCACCCGCACCGCCTCGTCCAGCCCGTCGTCCGTCACCTCCCCCGCCTCCTCCTCCTCCTCCTCGCCACCCACGTGGTCCACGTGCGCACCGCTGCTCGCTTCCAGCAGCTTGCGGCCCAGACGCGGCATAGAGCGCGGGGAGAGAGACGAGGACCAGAGCGAGGATGAACACGGAGCGAAGAGTAGCCATGTTCAACGGTCGGGATGGATTCTCGAGAGTAGCACTGCGAGCGATGATGAGGATGAGATGATTTGGGTGATCTTCCGAGAACTGAGAGAAGAAACTCAGTCGGGTGATGGTGAATGGAGGAACGGAGGCAACTTAAGTACTAAGGAAAGACGTGGATGCGGATGCGAAAAACGTGGAGGCGAGGGTGGTGAAGGGAGAGCTTCAGTTACCGCCGCCATGATGGTACCGCTTCAGCAACTCGCGGGTATTGCTTGCACGGCGCCGCCGCACAACGCGCAACACGCGGGAAAAGATGGATCCGCACAGCGTAACATGCAGCGGAATTACTGCGTCTGCGCTAGCATTGAGGATAGTACCACTGCCGTGTATTGCGCTGAACTCCGACTCGGAGTTGGACGGCAGCGCGGCAATAATGGCTGGCGGTTCATTTCATACTACGAGCCTCGCCAGATCGCCAGCTTGGTGTTTCCTGAGCTGTAGCTAGCGGGACTCCAATGGCGAGTCGTCTCCAATGACGAAACTGGAAGAGTTAGAGTCTGGTGGGGGGAGAACAGTCCGCCGTCTGTACTGTAGCGGCATTATCCTAGATCCCTCGTTCCAGCAGCTCGCAGTTATTGCCAGCATCATGGCTCCGCACAAGGCGGAGGGATGGATGCAGACACTGGTTAGCACGACGTGGGCTGGTTGGGTTGGGTTGCTTTGGCTTGGTTTGGGCTGGTTTGAGCTGGTTTGGTTGGGCTGAGAGCTCTAGGTGCAAGAAGGCTCCAGGGTAGGTGGCTGTGCGGCAATTATGTAGTTTGGTGGAAATGGAAATATAATCGAAGTCGTGTAACGAAATATGAGATAACACTATCTGTATCAACCCTATGCCAAGAAATTGCGACTACAAAAAAAAAGAGTATGTTCGCCCCCCAAAAAACGGGCATCAGTCCAAGCTTCCGCTCCCTCCACAAGGGTGCATGAAGTGCAAGGAGCTTGTTGAAGTCACTTGTAAGTAACGATTGCATTCCTAAGGTTATTAAATTATGCTTTTAGCTAACTGGAATGGCGATCTTAACGCCTCGCTGGCAGTCAGGCCCTCAGATGTCAGCGAAAAAAGGCTGATTTAGGGTCTGGACGCTGATTTCACAGACATGTGGGCGATGTGCTGGCTGAAAGTTCAGTTTGTCAGAGGTCCACTGGTGATCCCCGATTGATCCTAGGGGGAGGGTTACAGGCATGTTGGCCTGGGGGGTTATGGGCGCACTGACCCGCTACTTAACAAGCCCTTTTATCCCACTGGTCTAGTGGTTGGGATTCTGACATGGTATCAGAGCGAAGGTCTCGGGTTCGAATCCCAGTGTGTGCACTTCGGGCATCCCAGTGCGGGGGGGTGTCAGAGGTCCACTGGTGATCCCCGATTGATCCTAGGGGGAGGGTTACAGGCATGTTGGCCTGGGGGGTTATGGGCGCACTGACCCGCTACTTAACAAGCCCTTTTATCCCACTGGTCTAGTGGTTGGGATTCTGACACAGTTTTTTTTTTAATGTGTTGGCTGATTGTTCAGGTTTTTTTTTTTATGTTTTGGCTGATTATCCAGCGTTTTTTTACAAGTGTTCGCTGATTTATCAGACTTGTAACGAGAGTGTAGGCTGAATTCACGCTATTACAGATTCGTGCAGGAGCCGTGAGTTTCGGCTGTCCAGGTTCATCGACCGTCAATCACGCAAAATTTGCCATGTACAGCGCCGACGCGGGGGGAAAACGAATTTCCGACTCGTCGTTTGCTTCGTTGTCACCGACAGAATGCTTAAATAGATGTGATTCGTTGGTAAACCAATCACATCCCTTATGCGCCAATCACCCGCCACCAGTGCAGCACAGGAACGCACCGCACGCACTCACGACAAGGACACCCACCTCACCCCCACCCCGAACCTGCATCTAAGTGCGTGCATGGTGCCCCCTCGTCGCGCCGCGTAGCTGATGGGTGGTGAGAATGAGAGGGCCTTCTTTTATGGCTCTCTCTTGATGACCCCACCGTACCCACCCCCTAGGCGAGCTGCACTGTCAATCCACGCCTCTCGCCTTGGTTTTCTCAAACCCTAGCTAGCAACGTTGGAGCTCGGCACGCTCTCCCCTTTCAGCCATGGCCGGCCTTGCAGAAGGCGTAGGTTGCGATGATGATGCAGGCAGCGATGATGAATTAGACGGCCTAGAGGAAGCCAGGACGGGGCTTGATATGCTCCTGCGCTCGCTTGCCCCTGGTGTCCTCGCTCCCAGGCTTCCTACTGCAAAGCCAGCACTAGTCGAGAGGGTGCACCGCGACCACCCACCGGTTTCTTCAAGCTCGGATTCCATCCGGGGTGAGCCTGCTGCGCCGGCTGCCGTCTCCGACACGGTGGTTCTCGACTCGCCAACAACAAAGTCCACTGGCCCGCGCAACTTCAAGCTCAAGCAGTCGACGCTGAGCTGGGCAAAACCTTCTTCGAGCACCGCCGTCGAGCAACCTGTCGCGAACAACACAGCCCCTCTTCCATCCTTGGTCATAGACATTTCAGAGGCCATCGAGGCAGTCTATGCAGACGCTCTTTTGAAGTACAAAACCAAGTGGTATGAGAGGTTCCCGTGGCTTGTGCTAACCAAATCTAAATCTGGTTTCCCTGCTTTTAAGTGCAGTGTCTGCACCAAGCATGCCGGAGTCAGGGGGCGATGTGGCCGGACAGGGCGAGGGGCGACCGACGTGCAGACGCAGGCGTTTCGCAAGCACGCCGGCACGACGAAACACAGGCTGACGATGGAGAAGCAAGAGGCTCTGCTGAACGCGGCCTCAAAGCAGCCACGGATCGACCAACATCGAGCCGCCATCGATGCTGAGAAGAACCGCGTCGTGGCGTTGCTCGACTCCATGCTGTTCGTCAGTTCCTGCGATGCGCCAATGGGAACGTAGCAGCAGAGCTCACTTACCTGTGCGCGATGCAGTGAACGGAGACAAGGTGCGGAATCTTCTGTCGCAGGCGGACAACCAGGCCGGCCTTAGACCCCATCATCACTCTTGCGCCGTCGGTGCTAATGCCAGAAATTCTCTGTAGATCGACACCGACGGACTGCAAGTGGGAAAGCAGGATGCTCAGAAGTGAAGAAGCGTCCGCCTTTTCCACCGTGATCAGCTGCATGAACTCGGTCACGAGCACGTTGTCGCGGATGAACGAGGCATACAAGATCATGTGCTTCCCCCGGAGTCGATCCGTGCTTTCATCGATGCAAATGCCGATGAAAGGGCTTGTCAGGATGTGCTCCAGCTGAGTTGTCTGTAGCCAGGTAGCAAGGGCCTGCGTGAGCTCACCGAAGCCGTACCTACACGCAGGAAAACCAAAGACAAGAGATTAGAAGAGGGTTTAGGGTTGAACATCAAAACATCAACGCAATACAAATGTGGCTACTACTCACGTTGTGTAGTAGGTGCCATATCCCTTCTTAGGGTAGCCCTGGACACCCTTACGCGCGAGGTACTGCACGGTTCGAGCTCGTGTTTAACGTCTTGAGTTTGATGTTGTACTTGCAGGGAGGCACTTGCAGCGAAGGATGCAGCAGAGGAGCTCCCCGTCTTCGACATGGTCGACGATCTCATCCGGGCAGTGGCGGATTTGCTTGGTCGGTCGGGACCGCGCCACGCACGGTTCATGGACCTGCAGGAAGTCATCACCGAAACGAGCCTTGAAGTGCAAGGCATCCATTCCGTTCGGTGGTTGTCAAGGGGGGATGCCGTTCGTCGCCTTGTCGCTGTTTTGCCGGCAGTGATTGTGCTGCTGAAGGAGCTTAACAGCAAGATGTACAAACTGGCAAGCTCCTACCGTTTTCACTTCTTCCTTTACTTCCTGGCTGATGTGCTTGAGCAGCTCAACATTTTGAACAAGACCTTCCAGCAGAAACAGGTGAGGTGGTGCGAATATAGCTACGCATGTCCCCACATTAACCCTTTTAACTGTGTCACTGTGTGCCTCTGTCTGTCCAGCTCGATCTGGTGTCTTTGCATGCGCAGATCAAGCGGACAACGCGTCACATCGAGAGCCGCTACGTGGACTGCGGCGATGACTTCGGCGGCGGCATGAGCCAGTGGCTGTCACCTTTCCTGCTGCGCCATGGCCCGGGGTGTAGCCGCGAAGTGAAGGTGGAAGGTGTCGACAGTGACGGCCGACCATCTTCTATCACGTTCACCCTTCACGACGAGCCCGTGGACTCGTACAGCGGCCCGGAGGACCACGACGGGTGCATCCAGTTGTGCACCGAGTTCGCAGAGAGGATCGTGGCGAACCTGGAGGGAAGGCTCGGTGATCTCGACTCCCTCTCTGGAGTCCGCCTGTTCACACCAGATGCATGGCCACAAAGCAAGTCTGAGCGGAACGCTCGTTGCCTGGAGTGGCTTCAGTCGCTGGTGACGATGTTCAAGGCTCAGGACCGTGAGGACATCTTGCCAGGTCTGTTGTGGCGCCTTTGTGAACCTTTGATATCGTATCCATGCTTGAAAATCCTTTGTGGTGCACCTGTTTGCTCATGTCATGTGCCTCATCTTAACCCTCCCTCCCTCCCACCAGGCATCAACAAGAGGCAGGCAGGCAAGGAGCTTCACCTCTTCTGTTCAGTCCTTGCACGTGCCCCCAAGGAAGAGAGGGGCTTCCACAGCGGACTATCGGCGATCCTCAAGACGCCAGACTGGCGGGAGAGCTACCCCAATCTGGTGCAGCTCTGGGTGGCGGTGGCTGTGATTCCCCTCAGCACTGTGGAGTGCGAAAGGGGATTCACAAGGCAAAACGTGATCAAGACATGGCGGAGAGGGGGGATCAAGGACGCGAGGCTGGGGGACCTCATGTGTCGGTCCCTCATGCAGTACAAGCCCAACTACGATGAGGTAGTTGAGATCTGGCGGAGTTACAGAAAGCGCAAGCCTTTCAGCAATGCTCCCATTCGCACCCCAATCCCAGGCGAGAACAAGAAGGGCAAGCACGAGGAGGAGCCAGTAGATGTAGATGATGAGGAGGAGCCAGTAGATGTAGATGATGAGGAGGAGCCAGTAGGAGATGCAGGAGGTAGTTCTAGTGATGAAGATGAAATGAGCAGCTAGCTAATGTCATGTATGTGGTGTAGTGTTTCCCTGTTATGCCTGCTAAATTTAATGAAAAAAGTGCTCAACATGGATCAGCCAGAGTGTATTAAGTGAGGCTGATTAGTCAGCGTTTTTTTTTTATACTTGTCTGAACTTTCAGTTTGTTTTTTACAACCAACTCTGATTGATCAGCTTAACGTTGGCTGCTAAGGCTGACGTATCAGCCAAGCCAAAAACGAATCTGAGGCCCTGCTGGCAGTCCTTGCCCACACTGCTGCCAAAGAAGAGTGTCTTGCCGGCATGGGCGGGCTTGACTTGGAAGAGCCGCATACCCATCATGTGTCACTCACCGGCTGACCATCCACCCCCATCGCATCTTGTACGTATGACTCGCCAGCAAGCCTTTCGACTTCCCCAGCCACAGCACCAGCGCATAGCACACCGGCGCACCCGCCACATACACCACCGCAATCACCACCGACAGCGCAAACACCACCGTATGCGTCTCCGAAAACCACCCGATGTACGGCGCAGCACCCATCACGTCCGCGCCGTACCAGTGCCGGTAGAACGCCTGGAAACACCGGAAGGTTACAGCTGCGTAGCTCAGATCGAGCCAGTTGGTCACCCCGTGGATCAGAGTGTTCTCGTACTTGTCAAACATCTCGCGCTTTGTCGTCACGTGCCCGCCCAAGTCGTCTGCCCAAGAGCCGATGCCGCTTGGAGCTCGCGAGAAACTGGTGCCGTTGGTATCGGTGCGGAGAGAGGGAGCAGACGCAGCAGCAGAAGCAGCAGCAGCAGCGGAGGCGGCGGCCGAAGGGGTGAAGCTGGTGGTGCTGGTGATGGGGTGGTTCTTGGGGGTGCCGTAGATTCGGGTGATGGTGTGGGAGTAGAGGCGGTGTGTGAGGTAGAGGCATGCGTAAACGAGGACGCCTAAAACGGGGATGACCATGGTGACTGCCCACTGCTGCACGAATGAGTAGGTGACTGTGCAGCCTGGCCCGATCAGACATCTGGGCGTGAAGGGCAGACATCTGGGCGTGAAGGGCAGACATCTGGGCGTGAAGGGCAGACATCTGGGCGTGAAGGGCAGACATCTGGGCGTGAAGGGCAGACATCTGGGCGTGAAGGGCAGACATCTGGGCGTGAAGGGCAGACATCTGGGCGTGAAGGGCAGACATCTGGGCGTGAAGGGCAGACATCTGGGCGTGAAGGGCAGACATCTGGGCGTGAAGGGCAGACATCTGGGCGTGAAGGGCAGACATCTGGGCGTGAAGGGCAGACATCTGGGCGTGAAGGGCAGACATCTGGGCGTGAAGGGCAGACATCTGGGCGTGAAGGGCAGACATCTGGGCGTGAAGGGCAGACATCTGGGCGTGAAGGGCAGACATCTGGGCGTGAAGGGCAGACATCTGGGCGTGAAGGGCAGACATCTGGGCGTGAAGGGCAGACATCTGGGCGTGAAGGGCAGACATCTGGGCGTGAAGGGCAGACATCTGGGCGTGAAGGGCAGACATCTGGGCGTGAAGGGCAGACATCTGGGCGTGAAGGGCAGACATCTGGGCGTGAAGGGCAGACATCTGGGCGTGAAGGGCAGACATCTGGGCGTGAAGGGCAGACATCTGGGCGTGAAGGGCAGACATCTGGGCGTGAAGGGCAGACATCTGGGCGTGAAGGGCAGACATCTGGGCGTGAAGGGCAGACATCTGGGCGTGAAGGGCAGACATCTGGGCGTGAAGGGCAGACATCTGGGCGTGAAGGGCAGACATCTGGGCGTGAAGGGCAGACATCTGGGCGTGAAGGGCAGACATCTGGGCGTGAAGGGCAGACATCTGGGCGTGAAGGGCAGACATCTGGGCGTGAAGGGCAGACATCTGGGCGTGAAGGGCAGACATCTGGGCGTGAAGGGCAGACATCTGGGCGTGAAGGGCAGACATCTGGGCGTGAAGGGCAGACATCTGGGCGTGAAGGGCAGACATCTGGGCGTGAAGGGCAGACATCTGGGCGTGAAGGGCAGACATCTGGGCGTGAAGGGCAGACATCTGGGCGTGAAGGGCAGACATCTGGGCGTGAAGGGCAGACATCTGGGCGTGAAGGGCAGACATCTGGGCGTGAAGGGCAGACATCTGGGCGTGAAGGGCAGACATCTGGGCGTGAAGGGCAGACATCTGGGCGTGAAGGGCAGACATCTGGGCGTGAAGGGCAGACATCTGGGCGTGAAGGGCAGACATCTGGGCGTGAAGGGCAGACATCTGGGCGTGAAGGGCAGACATCTGGGCGTGAAGGGCAGACATCTGGGCGTGAAGGGCAGACATCTGGGCGTGAAGGGCAGACATCTGGGCGTGAAGGGCAGACATCTGGGCGTGAAGGGCAGACATCTGGGCGTGAAGGGCAGACATCTGGGCGTGAAGGGCAGACATCTGGGCGTGAAGGGCAGACATCTGGGCGTGAAGGGCAGACATCTGGGCGTGAAGGGCAGACATCTGGGCGTGAAGGGCAGACATCTGGGCGTGAAGGGCAGACATCTGGGCGTGAAGGGCAGACATCTGGGCGTGAAGGGCAGACATCTGGGCGTGAAGGGCAGACATCTGGGCGTGAAGGGCAGACATCTGGGCGTGAAGGGCAGACATCTGGGCGTGAAGGGCCAGACATCTGGGCGTGAAGGGCAGACATCTGGGCGTGAAGGGCAGACATCTGGGCGTGAAGGGCAGACATCTGGGCGTGAAGGGCAGACATCTGGGCGTGAAGGGCAGACATCTGGGCGTGAAGGGCAGACATCTGGGCGTGAAGGGCAGACATCTGGGCGTGAAGGGCAGACATCTGGGCGTGAAGGGCAGACATCTGGGCGTGAAGGGCAGACATCTGGGCGTGAAGGGCAGACATCTGGGCGTGAAGGGCAGACATCTGGGCGTGAAGGGCAGACATCTGGGCGTGAAGGGCAGACATCTGGGCGTGAAGGGCAGACATCTGGGCGTGAAGGGCAGACATCTGGGCGTGAAGGGCAGACATCTGGGCGTGAAGGGCAGACATCTGGGCGTGAAGGGCAGACATCTGGGCGTGAAGGGCAGACATCTGGGCGTGAAGGGCAGACATCTGGGCGTGAAGGGCAGACATCTGGGCGTGAAGGGCAGACATCTGGGCGTGAAGGGCAGACATCTGGGCGTGAAGGGCAGACATCTGGGCGTGAAGGGCAGACATCTGGGCGTGAAGGGCAGACATCTGGGCGTGAAGGGCAGACATCTGGGCGTGAAGGGCAGACATCTGGGCGTGAAGGGCAGACATCTGGGCGTGAAGGGCAGACATCTGGGCGTGAAGGGCAGACATCTGGGCGTGAAGGGCAGACATCTGGGCGTGAAGGGCAGACATCTGGGCGTGAAGGGCAGACATCTGGGCGTGAAGGGCAGACATCTGGGCGTGAAGGGCAGACATCTGGGCGTGAAGGGCAGACATCTGGGCGTGAAGGGCAGACATCTGGGCGTGAAGGGCAGACATCTGGGCGTGAAGGGCAGACATCTGGGCGTGAAGGGCAGACATCTGGGCGTGAAGGGCAGACATCTGGGCGTGAAGGGCAGACATCTGGGCGTGAAGGGCAGACATCTGGGCGTGAAGGGCAGACATCTGGGCGTGAAGGGCAGACATCTGGGCGTGAAGGGCAGACATCTGGGCGTGAAGGGCAGACATCTGGGCGTGAAGGGCAGACATCTGGGCGTGAAGGGCAGACATCTGGGCGTGAAGGGCAGACATCTGGGCGTGAAGGGCAGACATCTGGGCGTGAAGGGCAGACATCTGGGCGTGAAGGGCAGACATCTGGGCGTGAAGGGCAGACATCTGGGCGTGAAGGGCAGACATCTGGGCGTGAAGGGCAGACATCTGGGCGTGAAGGGCAGACATCTGGGCGTGAAGGGCAGACATCTGGGCGTGAAGGGCAGACATCTGGGCGTGAAGGGCAGACATCTGGGCGTGAAGGGCAGACATCTGGGCGTGAAGGGCAGACATCTGGGCGTGAAGGGCAGACATCTGGGCGTGAAGGGCAGACATCTGGGCGTGAAGGGCAGACATCTGGGCGTGAAGGGCAGACATCTGGGCGTGAAGGGCAGACATCTGGGCGTGAAGGGCAGACATCTGGGCGTGAAGGGCAGACATCTGGGCGTGAAGGGCAGACCATCTGGGCGTGAAGGGCAGACATCTGGGCGTGAAGGGCAGACATCTGGGCGTGAAGGGCAGACATCTGGGCGTGAAGGGCAGACATCTGGGCGTGAAGGGCAGACATCTGGGCGTGAAGGGCAGACATCTGGGCGTGAAGGGCAGACATCTGGGCGTGAAGGGCAGACATCTGGGCGTGAAGGGCAGACATCTGGGCGTGAAGGGCAGACATCTGGGCGTGAAGGGCAGACATCTGGGCGTGAAGGGCAGACATCTGGGCGTGAAGGGCAGACATCTGGGCGTGAAGGGCAGACATCTGGGCGTGAAGGGCAGACATCTGGGCGTGAAGGGCAGACATCTGGGCGTGAAGGGCAGACATCTGGGCGTGAAGGGCAGACATCTGGGCGTGAAGGGCAGACATCTGGGCGTGAAGGGCAGACATCTGGGCGTGAAGGGCAGACATCTGGGCGTGAAGGGCAGACATCTGGGCGTGAAGGGCAGACATCTGGGCGTGAAGGGCAGACATCTGGGCGTGAAGGGCAGACATCTGGGCGTGAAGGGCAGACATCTGGGCGTGAAGGGCAGACATCTGGGCGTGAAGGGCAGACATCTGGGCGTGAAGGGCAGACATCTGGGCGTGAAGGGCAGACATCTGGGCGTGAAGGGCAGACATCTGGGCGTGAAGGGCAGACATCTGGGCGTGAAGGGCAGACATCTGGGCGTGAAGGGCAGACATCTGGGCGTGAAGGGCAGACATCTGGGCGTGAAGGGCAGACATCTGGGCGTGAAGGGCAGACATCTGGGCGTGAAGGGCAGACATCTGGGCGTGAAGGGCAGACATCTGGGCGTGAAGGGCAGACATCTGGGCGTGAAGGGCAGACATCTGGGCGTGAAGGGCAGACATCTGGGCGTGAAGGGCAGACATCTGGGCGTGAAGGGCAGACATCTGGGCGTGAAGGGCAGACATCTGGGCGTGAAGGGCAGACATCTGGGCGTGAAGGGCAGACATCTGGGCGTGAAGGGCAGACATCTGGGCGTGAAGGGCAGACATCTGGGCGTGAAGGGCAGACATCTGGGCGTGAAGGGCAGACATCTGGGCGTGAAGGGCAGACATCTGGGCGTGAAGGGCAGACATCTGGGCGTGAAGGGCAGACATCTGGGCGTGAAGGGCAGACATCTGGGCGTGAAGGGCAGACATCTGGGCGTGAAGGGCAGACATCTGGGCGTGAAGGGCAGACATCTGGGCGTGAAGGGCAGACATCTGGGCGTGAAGGGCAGACATCTGGGCGTGAAGGGCAGACATCTGGGCGTGAAGGGCAGACATCTGGGCGTGAAGGGCAGACATCTGGGCGTGAAGGGCAGACATCTGGGCGTGAAGGGCAGACATCTGGGCGTGAAGGGCAGACATCTGGGCGTGAAGGGCAGACATCTGGGCGTGAAGGGCAGACATCTGGGCGTGAAGGGCAGACATCTGGGCGTGAAGGGCAGACATCTGGGCGTGAAGGGCAGACATCTGGGCGTGAAGGGCAGACATCTGGGCGTGAAGGGCAGACATCTGGGCGTGAAGGGCAGACATCTGGGCGTGAAGGGCAGACATCTGGGCGTGAAGGGCAGACATCTGGGCGTGAAGGGCAGACATCTGGGCGTGAAGGGCAGACATCTGGGCGTGAAGGGCAGACATCTGGGCGTGAAGGGCAGACATCTGGGCGTGAAGGGCAGACATCTGGGCGTGAAGGGCAGACATCTGGGCGTGAAGGGCAGACATCTGGGCGTGAAGGGCAGACATCTGGGCGTGAAGGGCAGACATCTGGGCGTGAAGGGCAGACATCTGGGCGTGAAGGGCAGACATCTGGGCGTGAAGGGCAGACATCTGGGCGTGAAGGGCAGACATCTGGGCGTGAAGGGCAGACATCTGGGCGTGAAGGGCAGACATCTGGGCGTGAAGGGCAGACATCTGGGCGTGAAGGGCAGACATCTGGGCGTGAAGGGCAGACATCTGGGCGTGAAGGGCAGACATCTGGGCGTGAAGGGCAGACATCTGGGCGTGAAGGGCAGACATCTGGGCGTGAAGGGCAGACATCTGGGCGTGAAGGGGCAGACATCTGGGCCGTGAAGGGCAGACATCTGGGCGTGAAGGGCAGACATCTGGGCGTGAAGGGCAGACATCTGGGCGTGAAGGGCAGACATCTGGGCGTGAAGGGCAGACATCTGGGCGTGAAGGGCAGACATCTGGGCGTGAAGGGCAGACATCTGGGCGTGAAGGGCAGACATCTGGGCGTGAAGGGCAGACATCTGGGCGTGAAGGGCAGACATCTGGGCGTGAAGGGCAGACATCTGGGCGTGAAGGGCAGACATCTGGGCGTGACGTGAAGGGCAGACATCTGGGCGTGAAGGGCAGACATCTGGCGTGAAGGGCAGACATCTGGTGCGTGAAGGGCAGACATCTGGGCGTGAAGGGCAGACCTCTGGTCGTGAAGGGCAGACATCTGGGCGTGAAGGGCAGACATCTGGGCGTGAAGGGCAGACATCTGGGCGTGAAGGGCGAGACATCTGGGCGTGAAGGGCAGACATCTGGGCGTGAAGGGCAGACATCTGGGCGTGAAGGGCAGACATCTGGGCGTGAAGGGCAGACATCTGGGCGTGAAGGGCAGACATCTGGGCGTGAAGGGCAGACATCTGGGCGTGAAGGGCAGACATCTGGGCGTGAAGGGCAGACATCTGGGCGTGAAGGGCAGACATCTGGGCGTGAAGGGCAGACATCTGGGCGTGAAGGGCAGACATCTGGCGTGAAGGGCAGACATCTGGGCGTAAGGGCAGACATCTGGGCGTGAAGGGCAGACATCTGGGCGTGAAGGGCAGACATCTGGGCGTGAAGGGCAGACATCTGGGCGTGAAGGGCAGACATCTGGGCGTGAAGGGCAGACATCTGGGCGTGAAGGGCAGACATCTGGGCGTGAAGGGCAGACATCTGGGCGTGAAGGGCAGACATCTGGGCGTGAAGGGCAGACATCTGGGCGTGAAGGGCAGACATCTGGGCGTGAAGGGCAGACATCTGGGCGTGAAGGGCAGACATCTGGGCGTGAAGGGCAGACATCTGGGCGTGAAGGGCAGACATCTGGGCGTGAAGGGCAGACATCTGGGCGTGAAGGGCAGACATCTGGGCGTGAAGGGCAGACATCTGGGCGTGAAGGGCAGACATCTGGGCGTGAAGGGCAGACATCTGGGCGTGAAGGGCAGACATCTGGGCGTGAAGGGCAGACATCTGGGCGTGAAGGGCAGACATCTGGGCGTGAAGGGCAGACATCTGGGCGTGAAGGGCAGACATCTGGGCGTGAAGGGCAGACATCTGGGCGTGAAGGGCAGACATCTGGGCGTGAAGGGCAGACATCTGGGCGTGAAGGGCAGACATCTGGGCGTGAAGGGCAGACATCTGGGCGTGAAGGGCAGACATCTGGGCGTGAAGGGCAGACATCTGGGCGTGAAGGGCAGACATCTGGGCGTGAAGGGCAGACATCTGGGCGTGAAGGGCAGACATCTGGGCGTGAAGGGCAGACATCTGGGCGTGAAGGGCAGACATCTGGGCGTGAAGGGCAGACATCTGGGCGTGAAGGGCAGACATCTGGGCGTGAAGGGCAGACATCTGGGCGTGAAGGGCAGACATCTGGGCGTGAAGGGCAGACATCTGGGCGTGAAGGGCGTTGAGTGAAGGCGAGGGCGGGGTGGAAGCTCTTCATGTCGTGAAGGGCGTTTCGGCGCACCACTGGACGACTGGAGGGGTACGGGAAGGGGGAGCGGAGCGGCCATGGTTAGTGATGAGCGTCTCGAACCTTGAAGCGCTGCCCTTTGTGAGTTTTTCTGTGAAGGACTGGAAGACTGAAAGGGGGGAAAGTCAGGGGGGGAGGCAAGAAAGGAGCGTGAAGGCTGCTCGTCGTGAGTCTCCGTGAACTAATGGAAGACACAATGGGGGAGCAGGATGGGTGTGCTAACATATCTCAAGTTGAGCAATATTATGCTAGAAACGTGAGGCACAATCAAGGATGGGGTGAAGTGAAGGAGGAAGGGTGGGTGTGCGGGTAGGAGCGCGAGATGGGGAGAGAAGTATAGATTGGGTAACACACACAGACCAGTGCATGGGTTTCCTCCCCACTCACTTGCTTCAGCCTCCCATTCAACTCTCCCATTCCACTCAACCCCTCCCATCCCAGCTATTCCTCACTCAACGAGAATGTCCCTGGCTTCACAGCAGGCAGCTTTCACAACTTGACTCCTCTACTCCAGTGGCTTCGGATTTGCTCGGTGCAGACTCCCATTTGTTTCAACCCACCCTGCTCACTCCCTTACCACTCAGCCACTGCTTACTCGCCAAGAGTGTCCCCTAGCATAACAGCAGGGGGCTTCCACAGGTTGACTCCCTCTTCATGTAGCTCCCATTCGTCTCATCCCACCCCGCTCACTCCCTACTCAACCACACTGCACTCACCAAGAATGTCCCCTGGTTTCACAGCAGGAGGCTTCCACAGGTTGACTCCCCCGCTCCAGTGGCTCACCGGGTTGCCCTGCAGGAACCCCACCATCACTGGCAGAGGCTGTGGGGGATGTGGGGAACAAGGACGGAGGGAGAAATGGGGTGCAAAGCGGTGAGGTGGGCTTCCACAGGTTCACTCTCCCGCTCTAGTGGCTCACAGGGTTGCATTGCAGAAATCCGACCATCACTGGCAGGAGCTGTTGGGGGGGGCTGGGAAAGGGGAAGAATGGGGAGAGTGGTGCAAACGGGTGAGGGGGGATTTCTCACCAGGCTGCCCTGCAGGAACCCGATCATCACTGGCAGGGGCTGTAAGAGAGGGAAGAGTGGGTTTGAGAGAAAGGAGCGGAGTCAGACGGATGTATAGGGGAATGCATGATAAGTGCACAGGGCAAGGTTCACTCAGAAAGCAAACGGAAGAGCGGTATATGGGAAGTGGATGCGAAGAGAGGTACCCGGGCAGTTTTTGGAAATAAAAAGAAGCGAAATCAGGTGTGAAATCAGCTTATTACTACAGTTTGTGAAGAGAGTGTCACTACGTTCAGTTTGTGAAGAGAATGTCACTGCGTTTCGGCTGCATTTGCAGAATATGGTGAATGGATTCAATATAGGATACATGGACGATCGAGGGCAAGGAGAGTTTACCTGGGCGTACACAACACCTGCTCACAACACAGATAACAAGCTTACTTTTGAGTCGACTCAAAACACAACACATGCAAGGGGGAATGAAGGAAAAAGCAACTATGAGTGTGTGTCGCTTTCCATTCTAGCTGCCAGCGCTTGAATTAGCAACATTCAGGAGTGGAGGCTAGCTACTCCCAAGCCAAATGGAGTGTCAAGTGGCTATATGTGGAAATGACAAGCTTCTTCTTAGTAAAAGCGAATCGCAGCTGCTTACTGGTCAAAATCGCGAGGGTGGTGGGTCGAAATGGCAACACCAGCAGCACCAGGTTTGCTTGACGCGGGATGAATTCTTCCTGCCACTCTTCACCTGAACTGACGGTGTGCGTGTGCAGGACAAATAGTGAGCCAGTTGTGGTGTGTGTGGTGAGTGCCTGATGTATGTCACCTTAAGTTTCAGAACAGCAAGTTTCTTTTCATAACCCCATGCGACCTTTCAAAGCCTTCAACAAATGCATGGTAGCATCAGGTATATCCCAGCGATTACATGATAACCAAAGCAGCACCCAGATCCACTATCAACCCTGCACAGCACACCTAAGCCTTTCACCCACACACACACCATCTAACCCCTCCACCCCCCCCCCCCCCCCCAACACAATCACTCACACATACCTCTCCCACCAGCATCACCAAGCCTTCACTACTAAGCGACCAGTTCTGCAAACCGAGCCCGTTGCAAGCCACATCAGCAGCAGCAGACAGAAGGGACCGCCCGGCAACAGCAGAAGCACCGACCGCAGTGGAGGCATTACCAGCAGCTGAAGCAGCGTATGGAGTGCCTTGCCTGCCGCTGCAGAACCCCACTGCACCGAGCTGCTACACCACACCAGCTGCGCTGCTGCCCTGCCTGCCACTGCCCAACTCCACTCCGCCGTGCCTCTCACCCCTCCCATCTCCCATCTCCCATCTCCACTACCGCCCGCCTGCAGCGCGCGAAGCCTTGCGCGAGTCCATCCAGACCGGCTTCACATACTTGCGCGGCTTCAAGACGCCTAAGTTCGGGTACCTCTTCAGGGGCTTCACACATTTGAGGCAATCGTGCGAGTTCATCTGCTTGATCTTCTGCCAGCTCAGCAGCACCCTCACCGCCTCGTCCAGCCCGTCGCCCGAAGCCTTGAGCGGCTGCTCAAACTTCCAGACCGGCTTATCTGGCACATACTTCTTCAAGTTGCCTAAGTTCAGGTTCCTCTTCTCAACCATCTTCAAGACGCCTAAGTTCGGGTTCTGCTTCTTCATCCGCTCCCACACATCTGAAGCAAGCAGCACCCGCACCGCCTCGTCCAGCCCGTCCGTCACCTCCCGCACCTCCTCCTCCTCGCCACCCACGTGCACGTCCGCACCGCCGCTCGCTTCCAGCAGCTTGCGGCCCCAACTCGCCGCGTCCACGGCTGCGCTTCCCCCAGCAGTGACGTCGCCCCGCTGCTTTGGCGCAGCCGCGGCGTAGAGTGCGGGGACCAATGCGAGGATGAACACGGAGCGAAGAGTGGCCATCTTTTACTGCGAGAGTAGCAATGGATTCTCGAGAGTAGCACTGCGAGCGATAATGAGGATGAGATGATTTGGGTGAATTTTCGAGAACTGAGAGAAGACCCTCAGTCGGGTGAAGGTGAATGGAGGAACGGAGGCAACTTAAGTACTAAGGAAAGACGTGGATGCGAAGGGCACGGAGGCGAGGGAGGTGGAGGGAGAGCTTAGTTGCCAAACATAATGGTACCGCTTTCTGCAGCTCGCGGGTATTGCTTGCAAGAGGCTCGCCGCACAACGCGCGACATGGGGGAGAATGTGGATCCGCACCGCGCAGCATGCGGCGGAAAAAGCGGGATCCGCACCGCGCGACATGCCGCGCAACTACTGTGTGTACGCGAGCAGAGCTAGGCTACCACCGCATGGACTCCAAACCGGATTTGGACGGCAGCGCGGCAATAATGGATGGCGATCCAGTCGTACTTAGAACCTCGCCAGATCGCCAGCTTGGTAATTGTCGAGAGGTGTGACTTGCGAGACTCGTTACCAAATGACGAAACTGGACGACAGAGAGCAGATCGCTGTCTCTTACACCTGTAGCTCGCATATTTCCAGTAATGGTATGGGGCCGCGCGATACCCACAGAGTTGGCGAGGGGTTGGTATGGCACGCCAGTAACGAGGACACGCGCTTTTACACACCCTGTGGTTTGGTTTGGGTTGGTCTCGTTTAGCTTAGGTCGTGCTGGTTTTTTGTTCGGTTGGGCTGGGTTTGATGGGCTGAGTGAAAGATTGGGCTGAGCTGAATGGCAGTCCAGCAACAATCACACTTGGTGAGATAATTCAGGAGCGTGTTCCGAAATATGTATAATTCTTGTATCACTCTATTAAATATGATATGGTATTCGCCAAGAACGGGGCACTTGGAAAAAAAATCCGTCTACCCCCAAAGATTGGGTATCAAGCCAAGATTCAGGTCCCTCTACAAGGGTGTATGCACTGCAAAGAGATTCTTAATATTCACCAAGCATGATCATGGAACGATGCCTCTACTTGACTGGAGTACCTAGCATTTACATACACCTGGCTGGCAGTCCTTGCCTACACTGCTGCCAAAGAAGAGTGACTTGCCAGCATGTTCGGGCTTGACTTAAACGAGGCGCATGCAAGAGATGTGAGAGCTACCCCTAGCTGACAGGAATGGCGATCTTGACGCCTCGCTGGCAGTCCTTGCCCACACTGCTGCCAAAGAAGAGTGTTTTGCCGGCATGGGCGGGCTTAACTTGAAAGAGACGCATGCCGAACTGCGAGGCAGATGTGAGCGGCACGGCATTGAAGAAGGCGCAGGTTTTGAAGGCAAATATATTCTTGAAGCGCTGCACGTCGTGCGTCTCTGCGAACCACTGGAAGACTGGAGATGGGTGAAGACAGAATGTGTGGCACAGATTAAGACAGGAAACGCGCGTTTTGAGATTCCCAGAGCTCGAAGGCTGCACATCTCTAGTCTCTGTGAACCATTAACAGACTGAAAAAGGGGAGGTGGGGGAAGGGTGGGTAGGCTGATTGAAATATCTCAACTTGAGCATTACTAGACTGGAATGGGACACACTTATGCATGGGGTGAAGGAGTGGGGATAAAGGTGCCGGTGGGAGCGAGGGAGTGGCTGGGCTGGGAGCAAGTATAACCTGGGTGACACCCACAGTCCAGAGCGGTAAATTCCTCCCCTCTCAATAGGTTCAGCCTAAGCGCACCCTACCAGGCTCCCATTCAACTCACACCCACCCCACTCACTCACTCCAGCCCAGCCACTCCTCACTCACCAAGAATGTCCCCTGGCTTCACAGCAGGCGGCTTCCACAGGTTCACTCCCCCACTCCAGTGGCTCACTGGGTTGCCCTGCAGGAATCCGACCATCACTGGCAGCGGCTGTGGGGGATGTGGAAAGGCAAGGACGGAGGGGGATATGTGGTGCAAAGCGGTGAGGAGGGTTTCTATAGGTTCACTCTACCGCTCCTAGGGTTGCATTGCAGGAACCCGGCCATTACTGGCGAGGGCTGTTGGGGGGATTGGAAAAGGGAAAGAACGGGGAAAGGGATGCAAGGGGATGAGGGGCAATCCCGTTAGGTGACTATCCTGATCTAGTGGCTCACCGGAAACCCGACCTTAACAGGCAAGTGTCGTGAGGAAGGGAAGAAAGGGTGTGAAAGCAAGGCATGGCGTGAGAGGGATGTACTGGGAATAAAAATGCAATAAGAAGTGCACTGGGCAAGGTGTGCTCGAAAAGCATAAGAAGGAGTGGTAAATGGGGTACATGGAAAGTTCATAGAAAGGGGCACAAGCGCAATCAGGTGTGAAGTCAGTTCAATTAAACAGTTTGCGAAAAGTGTAACTGGGCTAGGGGTGTATTTGCAGAATATGGTAAGTTGAGTCAAGAAAGTAGCATGAGATGATGCACAACACATGGGGAATCGAGAGCTAGTGGAATTTACCTGGGTGTACGCAACACCTGCACACATGACAAATAATAGAACACAGGGAAAGGAAGAATGAAGGACAGTATTTTTTTGGTAAGCTTTTCAGCTAGGACACCAAGAAAACAAGGCCAGATGTTTGCAAGAGAAGGCGTTGGTGAAAAGTATAAATGACAGTGAATGTCAGGTGCTTACCGGTGAAGGTTGCTGCGAGAAGCAGCAGAAGCAGAGGGGTCATCCCAGCCGTCCGTGCAGACGCCATGGTGTGAGCGACACCCTGAGGGACACCCTGAGGGACGCCCTGAGGGACACCCTGAGGGACACCCTAGCCTCTCTCTGAGCAACACCCTGAGCGAGACCCGGAGATGCGGTTTCGAAGGCTATAGACCAGCAACGACGCCGTGCAGTTCTGGTGGTGCAAATCCGCGGCTTCACCTGCTCTCCAGGCGGTCAGCGTCAATAACGTTACCTAGAGCCTGGAATCCGTTAAGTTTCACCTCAACTCTTGAAGGAATGGTGCGTGTGCAGGTGGGGGAATGGTGCGCCGTGTCAGCTACCAATCGGTGAAACGGCTTTTCCTTTCTGGAAGTATGATGGTCCAAAGAATGATGATGATCACTACGGAAAGGAGTGCAGAGGAAGCCGATACTACTCAGTGGGTATTGAGTTTTCACCCGAACCTGTGTATGAATGACTGGTGCGCCTGTTTATACCCATCGAGCATACCATAGTAACCGTGACCGCTTCGAGTTTTGCTGCTTGCACGGAAAGAGTGAGGGAGAACGAGTGAGGTTGAACGTTTTGGCGGCACAGCGCGCGCCGCGGCGCATTTCAACACCTCTACAGCCAATGCTGCGACTGCGGCACGCACGGTGGCTCGCTTTGAAAGGGCAACGATTCCATTTGAGAGCCGACCGGGACCAGACCCTGTTTCGCATTCGTCATTGCGGGCACGTGCGAGTGAGAGGGTGTGCCGGACGGTGCGGTGTTGCTGTGCTCCAGGACAAGAATGCGTGTACTGTACCTCGGTATGTCTAACTGTAACTAAAACCGACGGTAACATCTCCGCGCACATTCCGGCGGAAACAGCCACCAGTTTTACTACCCGGAGGTAGCTTGTCTATTAGATGGGGTCGGTCAGTGTAGCTGTATCAATTTGTTCATCCAAGAAGGCCTTCTCGCGAATTGCGGCCGACCAAGTCAAACTTCAGAAGAGCTTCGCAGAGCAGAATCTGACGGTTGGATTTGGAAAAGTGAGGCGTGGCGGCGAATGGTGTGTGAGGGGATGGAAAGCTAAACGTGGCGGAGAACGCACAGAAAATGAGTTCCGAGAATGCCGAGACGATGGCGTTGGAAACTGGGATGTGAAGGAAGAAAACGATGTCCAACGGGAGGCTGCAAGCTCCAAGCTTTTCCATCTTCCGTGAATTGGGATTGGTCAGACGGAGAGCTCGAATTCAAACTCGAAACTTCAAGGTTTACCGCCTTTTTATATTATCGCTGGAAGCCACACCGTTTAGAATAAATTATCTTCATTCCGTATCACACGCATATGACAAGAAAAGTAGTAAATGACGCTGGTTCTAACCATCATGTCAAAGTCGTATTATTTACAATTGTTGGACAGACGTAGTATTTCTGGCTCCTGATTTTTTGTTTCCGCTTGAATCAAGTGTCTGACTGCCTTGACCTTTATGGCTGCTAGAACCTGCCCCACTATCATGACAATCACCACTACTCCACGGATATTCAGAATGGCCGGAAACTTCTTGACCGAACTCCCTCGCTTCAACACCACCTTCAGCAGCCACATCCCCATCAATCCTGCGAATCTCCTCCATCTCACAGTCAAACTCCAGCCCTGCCACTTCCAGCTCCTCACAGAGCCCCTCATAGCTGCGTGTCACGGCACTTAGCTGATTCCGCAGATGCTCCATCTCCATCCTTAGGCTGGGAGCTGAACCAATCAGGGAGACAGAGGGGAAGAATGCAGCCAATGAGAGCTCTTTCAATCTCGCATCCCTTCAGAGCTGCATCAGATGTCTTGTGGTGACTTTTGAGTCGACTCAAAAGTCATTTGGAGTTTGCATGCAATATTTCAACGATCTTTACACAAGGAGCTACTGCAAACGCGGGAGAGAGAAAGTGGTCAGGCAGAACACAGAACCCATGCACGAGGGAGGGAACAGACACGAGCGTTTGTAGCTCCTCTCACCGTCACCGCCCTCAGAGCTACGTTCTCAGCACAAAATTCGACTTCTCAGCACGCCTCAGGGGTTGTCGTTCGGCTGGCTTCTCAGATACCTACGAGACCTGATGCAGCTTCACCCATCCACACCACACCATCCTCCTGCGCACAGCACATTCCCTGCCAAAGCTTCTACTGAGTCCACACAACGCATCAGATACCACTACTTGTTGCAGCTACCTACCTGCAAGTTGAAACTTACCTTCCCACAACTGTTGCAGGTTACTCTCTTCACAATGCTGCTCGTCCAGTTCCCTGCCAGTGCTTTCACTAGCTGCGAGAAGGGCCTCAATAACAGACAATGGACTAACCTGCTCTCAGGTGCTGAACCCACCTGCTCTCAGGTGCTGAACCCACCTGCTCTCAGGTGCTGAACCCACCTGCTCTCAGGTGCTGAACCCACCTGCTCTCAGGTGCTGAACCCACCTGCTCTCAGGTGCTGAACCCACCTGCCCTCAGGTGCTGCAAGTTGCACTTTACAACGCTGCTTGTCCAGTTCACTCGCTTGTACACCTTCCCCGCCAGTGCCCCCACCACTACCCGCAAGAGTGTCGATGATTGCCTGCACTCAAAGGCTGAACCTACATGCTCTTAAGTGCTGCAGGTTGCTCTTCACAACGCTGCTGGTCCAGTTCACCCACTTGTACACCTCTCCCGCAGTGCCTTTACCACTCCAATATGCAGGTCAGCAGGTGCCCCCACTCCCAGATACAACCCCTCTAGTTTCACCCTTACCCGCCCGTAAGTGTTGGAGATTGCTCTTCACAACGCTGCTGGTCCAGTTCATGCGCTTGTACACCTTCCCTGCCAGTGCTGTTACTTACACGACCTGCCAGAGCGCCCCAATACTAGACAAAGGACTTGCCTGCCCTCAGGTGCTGCAGGTTGCTCTTCACAACGCTGCTGGTCCAGTTCATGCGCTTGTACACCTTCCCTGCCAGTGCTTCCACCGCCTCCATGCGACTCATCAGCTCCTGCTGGTTACCACACACCCTCCCTGCCACGTCAGCATGCCACTGCTCGTACCCCGCCAGCACAGCGGCTGACGCGGCGCTTTGATCTTTCAAATCACGCACTGCCACGGCTGCATGGGAAGGTGGATGAGGAAGGAGGTGGGTGGCAGGAGTGGGCAGGACGAGGGGGCAGGGAAAGAAGAGGGGGGGGGAAAGGGGTGAAAGGGCGGAGGGGAAATGTGAGGGGGAGGGAAATGTGTAGGTTGTGAGAATGGAGTGGCAAACTACACATGGCAAATGCACAAGGACTAGTAATGGGAGAACTATGTCTGCCAGCTCAATGAGACAGAATTATGCAACCTGCAATGGGAGACACAACTTCCAAGACCTGTATCAAGAGTATTTTGGTATGGGCTATTTGAGTCAACTCTTGAGAATCAAAAAGCCGCAGCCACGTGACCATGTAACCGTGTCACCAGCACTCCCATCCCATGTCTCACCTATTCTCTGCACATGTGCTGCCATCTGCTCTTCTCCACTGGCGGCTGTGGCTGCACCAAGTGGTCCCTCCTGCATACCATGCCTGCTGGCAGTGGTAGTGGTGGCGGCAACAGCACGTGCCTCAGCATCACCAGCAGCAGCTCTCCCAGAAGCTGTAGCAGCTGTAGCGGCTGTAGCAGTGGAAGCAGGGGATGTGGAGTTTGCAGCGGAGGCAGCACCACCAGTGGTATTAGCAGCAGCAGCGGCAGCAGTGGCGGCAGCGGCAGGGAGGTGGGTGTTGGTGTGGGCTGCCTGGAGGAGAAAAGGGGTGAGCTGCTGCAGCAGCGGAACGCTCTGCACCAACAAGGGGGGGTGAGAGGGGGAAAGGGGGATAGACTTTTGAGTCGACTCAAAAGTCACCTCGGTGTGGACTGCTTGAAGGAGCAAAGGGGTGAGCTGCTGCAGCAGCGGAACGCTCTGCACCAACAAGGGGGGATGGAGGTGGAAAGGGGGGATAGGAGAGGGAAGGATCAGGGGAAGGTTGAATGCACTTGAACCTTCAACCTACTGCACTTGAACCTTCAACCTACTGCACTTGAACCTTCAACCTACTGCACTTGAACCTTCAACCTACTGCACTTGAACCTTCAACCTACTGCACTTCTCGAAATCAAAACATTTCACAACTTCACCTTTGCACAGGTTTAAAGATCGCAAAGAGATAAGCTGCTGCAGTAATGGAACACTCTGAGTAGGGTAGGGGTCTCACTCTGCGGTGATTTACTTCAACTCTCATTCCCCTTCCTCCTTACGACCCTTCCCATTCCCCTGCTGACTCCCTTCCCACACCCCAATACCCATCTAAATGCCCACACTCTCTGCGAGCATTATTCCTTTCTCTCCAACCTTCCCCCAATAGCACCGCTTCCAACCCCACCCCAGCGCTTCAAGTTTCAACAATACTCACTCAAACCGAATCACTTTAGGACGACTCAAGGCCTTCCATCCTTCCCCACTACTCCCACAACACTTGCAACTCGACTTTCGAGTCGACTCAACTAACTGCATCCCTATCACCCTTCGCACCTTTCTTTTCCACCACCCCCCACCCCTCCCCACCCCTCCCCACCCACCCTCCCAGTTCTTCCCTGCCACCCCTACAAGTATCCCCCCGTTGTGCACTCACCACTCTACCCCTCTACCACACTATACTATCCCCACCACCCCCACCACCTCCCGCACCGCCCACCACCACCCACCATCCCTCACCATTTCCCACCATCCCCTCCTTCCCCCCCCCTGCACCACCTGTCGCAGCGCTCTCAGTCGTTGCAAAGACTCGTCCTCCTCCTCTTCCACCTCCCCTTCTCCCGATCCCCCACTACCCGCCACTACCCCTCACCACTCCCCCACCTCCCCCCACCACCTGCCGCAGCGCTCTCAGTCGTTGCAAAGACTCGTCCTCCTCCTCCTCCGCCCCTTCCCCCGCCGACACCACCGTGATGACGTCAGCCCCGCCGGCCTGAAGCGCGTGACGTGGGACGCGCGGAGGAGGCGGGGGGGCCCGGGGAGGGGGAAGGAGGAGGGGGAAGGGGGGTTGGGGGGGGGGAGGGGAGGAGGGAACAGGGGGTGACGGGGGCAGTGGGAAGAGGAGAATGGAAACCAGGGTTGGCGGGAGGGCGAGTACGTGGGGTACCGGATGGGGAGGTGGAGAGGAAGCGGGGACCGGGGGAGGGGGAAGGAGGGAGGGGTGGTGGGAGGGGAAGGGAGCAGGGAGACAAGGAGTCGGGGCGAATCTCAAAAGCGACAAGATGGAGGCGAAGGTCAGCGAATCGCCTCGACTCACCTTGAATCGCCTCGCGTCACCTCATTAGGCGCATAGAGGAGGAGACTAGAGACGGCATGTTTCTACTTTCTGGAAACTCGAGCAGCTCAGGTTCAGGCGACGCGCTCTTATAAGCTATCCACATAACTGCGTATAAATGCGTGACGCAGCAGGCGCATGCTTCCATTAGCGCGTGACTCTAAAAGTGCGCTGGCGAACGCGGCTTGCAGCAGCTCCCATGGAAGTCGACGAGGAGCGGCGAGATAAGGGTGTCTAAATTAGACGTCTCGTGAAATTTGAAAATAAAGACCGAGTCCAAGTGACATTAGTTCGCGAGAATCATGAGTTCGGGAGATGGAACAAAAGCACCTAGATGTTGCCGTTCGAGCTTTCACCGCACTATACCACTCCCCCTAACTGCAAACCGCTTCTTCTCATTTTGTTCAGACGCTGAGTAAAAAACTGGCGCCGTTCGCTTTACAAGGACTCGGTATCCGAAAGTTTTAGTATTATATAATCATATGACCGCAATACAAAAAGTAGATACTTGCATTGCATATTACGCAATTCTAGAATAGCATGCTACATAACATAAAAGTTATGGGCCGGTATATATTGGGAGACTACTAGTCCCTTATTCTGCTCTTGTACTTGCTCGTTGGCTACCTGAGTTGGCAAGGCAAGTCTCGGTTGGCCAGTAAGTGCAGCAACATCAGCGCACCCTCACTTGAGCTTTCAACCCCTTGGCACATTCCTTCTGGACGCTGCTCCCAAAATAGAGTATTTTTCCGCGCTCTAATTTTTGAACCCAGTACACATCCAAACCAAAGAACCGCCTCGGCCCCACCGGGTCTGCTCTGGAGAAATCGCAGCTGTCAAACGCCTGCTTGTTTGGGAACTGCTGCACATCTCTCATCTGGCCGAACCAGCGGAACACTGAAAGGAACACAAGGTGGGGTTTGGGTTTGGGATGAGAAATGAGGGCTTTGGGAGAGTGGGATTTGGTAGCGGGGTAAGGGATGACGGAAACGGGGGATATGGACGGGTGGGAGTTGAGAGGGTGGCAGGGAGAGGGGAGAGGGGGAAAGTGGGGGAGATGAAATAGGAAGACGGGGGTGAGCAGGAGTGATGGGAGGGGTTGGGTGAAGCGGGGGGGAGTGGAAACAGTACGGAAAGCACGGGTGGAAGGGAGGGCGGAAAGAAGGGGTTGGGGGAAAGGGATGTGAAACGGGGTGGTTTGCAATGGCACAAGGTGAAGCAGCGGCTGAGAGGGGGCATTCAAATGCAGCAGTCTTTGTTGGATGTAGAGATGTGTATGAGTAAAGACTCGCTGTTGATTCTCATTGACTTCTCGTTGACCCCAATGACTCATCGTTGACTCCCATTGACGCATTGTTGCCTTCTGTCAAGTCATCGCTGACTCCCGTTAACTCATGTTGACTCACGTTGACTCATATGTGACTGAGCGACCTCACAAACAAATCCTCCAATCATCACTTCTCTAGTTCCCAGGCGAGCCTCCCCCGTTCCTCCTTCCTCCACGGGATCCACGACGCACGAACCCAGCTTCAGACCACCCATAATCGCCCTCATTGACTGCCGTTGACTCTCGTTGACTCACAGAGGAAATCTCCCGGTCGCACGGCGGGCATCTTCAAGTCGAGCAGCCCCTTGCTCCACGGGTTCACGTTCGACCGACCCGACTCCAGGCCTATCACCACCACTCGAGGCTGGAGAAGTAGAGGCGGGGAGAGTAGCGGAGACAATCGGATATTAGAGGAGAGAAATGGAGAGGGGGCCGGAGCGAGGCGGGGTTGAGGTGGTGGTGGAGACTTGGCTGGGTTCTAAGGTTTGGCGGATTGGCTGAGCTGCTTGTGACAGACGATGAGCTTCTCACAGGAGATACACAGTTCAATCGGAAACAAATGCAAGCAAAGGCGAATGCATGCAGGTAAGAGAGTCCAGACAGGTCCTCTGCACCCCAGCTGGCAGAAGCCGGAGAAGCTTCTGAGACTCCTCAAAAGCGACTCAGACTCCAGACAAGGACTGCTGCAGCCCAACTGACGGAAATTAAGCAGGTATTCTAAGAAAATTCCGACGTCAGCGCCTTGAAGAAGTTTTTCTTACCAATGCTTCTGTGACGCCTGATGACCCGCAGAGAACGAGAAGCGCGCCGAGTAGACCGTCGAATTATTGTAGAGCGGTTGGGAGAGGTTCAAGCATTCGACAATTCGGAAGTCGATGATGGTCCAGCAATGGCCCGGCGATGGTTCGGCGACGCGCGGATGCGAGTTTCATGTGAGGATGGGAGGAGAGGGGGATACGAGTGGAAGAAGCGAGGTCAAAATGAATGAGAAGGAAGGAGACGAGAGACAAGGGGAGTGACAGCTCCAAAGAGGAAGCAGTGGAAAAAGGAATGAACAGAAACATATTTTTTCACAAAAAAGTCGCAAAGGTTTAGAAGACTGGGGAGACAGGGGGAAAGCAACTGAGGGTTGACGAGTTGAGGAGGTAACGACTGAGAAGCTGAGTTTTGACTATTTTTAAAAGGCTGCTGGTGAGTCAACTCTACCGAAATTTCGGTTGCAATGCCCTCTACATTTAGCCTTTTACCGGCCGTGACAAGTAGCAGAAGCAGGACCGAAGAAACGAACAGCTTTCTCGAAGCTCCTCCTTCGCTGCCTTTCCAGAGAAGATTCATCGCGAAGAATGCTGTGTACTATGAAACCCCTACTCGTTTGGTCCCAGCGCAGTAAACGAGGCGTTCCTTATTGGCGTTTGCTTTGTTTCCGCAACGTAAACGAGGCACGACGTTCAGCGCAGTAAGCTCCGCACTAATTTCTTTCTGAGTCGCTTTCTAGAAAAAGGGAAGGGAAAACGAGAGGGGAAGGCGTGCTATGGTCTGGATGCAAGCGTCGCGCAACTGCACGTGTATACGGTAAGATCGCCGAGCCGAGGGTCTAACTAGCGACAGATTCACTGCTGCCGCCGATCGGTGAGGGACGAAGGCATGGGTGGTCGCTGTAAGTTCTTTGCTGGACCAAAACTCGACCGCTGGCGGGGGAATATGCACAGATAATTTCGCGGGTACCAACTTGCAAGTAGGAAATACATATGTTCCGTGGATTCCAATTTTGATGTTTGATGGAGGTTGTGGGGCGGCTCGATTTGGTCGAACCGCCTTGGCTTGCCTCTGTTTTTCTCCAGATGTTTGACCGTTGATGCATCAATCCACTTCACGAATCTCCGCTGTTGTGTGAGCCAACAAGCTGTACAAAACAAGGTAATGTAAATGCGTGTAAATTAGTTAGGATGATACATGGGAGCCTCATATTTTTGCAAACAATAGCACACATATATTTCTTAGATAAATCTAACAGAACTATGAGAAATTCGAATGATGCTTAACCTCTTTAAAAAAGCTTACCCATTTTGGGATTTTAGAAAGCCAAACCAGGGCATTGGTAACGAGGTGTATTATCTTCGTAAATTCTGGTGTGATTGTACCGAGGTTGAGGTTGGGTAGAAATGTAGGTGCATCCTTTCCATCGCAATCTTGCCGTCTCGTTATAACCAGAAATGGCGGTCGGTAGCAGCGGAAATGCCGGTGTGCTTGTGCTGCTTCGCCAAGTATCGAGATTGCGACTTTCGTTCAATATTTGACGTGAAGCTAGAATGTTGAAGTATCCCGAGCTAATGCCGACAACCAGCCATTTCCGCATTTTTACGAATGGATAGAATAGCTGTCTGCAAAAGTTGGCATTGCTAACTGTCGCTTCGAGATTCGTATCTTCTACTTGTCAGTTTCCCGGAGCAATCACACAAATCTCCGCATTTCAGGCATTCGTTTCGTTTTTACAACCGCTAGCTCGTTCGCTTAGGCATGACCTGACTGATACAAGCGGCACTACCAGTGTACCGTTTCCAGAGTTATTCATCAGTTGACCATTCGCGCATTGCATCCCCAATGTCGTTCTCCTTAACCTCCTTCCTCTACGGCCCGAACCTGTTCCCTTGTCCTTAGTCGGCATAGGGCATTATCCTTCTCGTCACACTAAGTTCAGGAACATACACATTCCTTTCTTTCATGATTACGGTTACGTATTCGTTCGTAATTGCGCTTCTTCCATTCCCTACGACATAGTCCACCATGTCGTCACCGCCAGCCATTCGATTCGCGGCCCGTCGCTTCCAAATCGCCTTTCTCCTACCTCTCCTTCTCACCGTCGCTACAGCCGCCTCTCACGTCTCGCAACGTCTAGTAGATTCCTATAACGGGGGATGGGAAGGAGAACTAGGGTTACCAGATGCAGGAGGTGTACTAGCGGATGATTCTGCGTTTCAGGTGTCGTCTAACGGCGTGACTCGCGCCGTGTTTCACGGCCGGCGCGCGCTGCTGCAAGCGCCGGCACCGGCCTCAGAGCCTCCGCTCTCCGATACCGCGGATCCCTCCGCCTCCGCTCCCGCATCCTCCGCGCTTTTAGCCCCTGCTTCCGCTCCCGTTTCCGCCTCTCCTTCCGCTCCCCCTTCCGCCTCCCCAGCTGCTCCGCCTTCCGCCTCCCCTTCCGCTCCTTCCGCCCAGCCCTCCTCCCCATCCCCTGGGGGGGCCTCAAGCGGGACCCCCCTAACGACCCCCGCGGCTCCCACTCCCCCGTCTGGCGCAGGCGGGGGGAACGGGGGGAATGTGGGGGATGGGGGGGCAACGTTCGACATGCCGGGACCTGTGTGCGAGGGGCAGTGCTGCTCCAATGCGGCCCCGATAATCCCGGACGGGATGCCCAAGATGACGTCATCGTGGCTCAGCAGCCAGCTGGCGCACGGCGCTAAGGTGTGTGGGGAGTGAGGGGAGAAGGGGGAATGGGGGCGAGAGGGAAGAGCGGGAATGGGAGAGAGAGGAAAGACTGGGAGAGAGGGAATTGGGGAATAAGAAAAGAGTTTCAGTTGGAAAGTAGAGAAGAGGGTGAATGAAAAGGGAGGGAAGATGTGAATGGGAAAGGAGGGGAAAGAGGATGAGTGGGTGATAAAGGGAACATGGTAAATCGGGGAGGACAGTGCGAGGGCAAGTGGAGTGTAGAGGAGAGAGAAGAAGGTATGTGGAGGGTGATTGGATACAAGGGATAAGAATCTTGTGGTTCATTACCCTGTGCCACACAAGGCCACATTACCCTGTGCCACACAAGGCCACATTACCCTGTGTCACACAAGGCCACATTACCCTGTGTCACACAAGGCCACATTACCCTGTGTCACACAAGGCCACATTACCCTGTGTCACACAAGGCCACATTACCTTGTGGTTCATGTCTCGGTTGGTTGGTTCGTGTAAGGTGGACCAAATGACCACCTCTCCTCTCACACTCTCTTTGCTCCCCTTCCTCCCACTGCCCACCTCCCCGTCACACTTCTCCCCCCCCTCAGATCCACGTGCCACACCAGGGCCATGCTTTGAGTCCACTCAAAACACGACTCAATCCACGTCACCCCACCTCGTCCCACCCCCACCCCTCCCCTCCTCCCCCTCAGATCCACGTGCGGCACCAGGGCCGTGTTTTGAGTGGACTCAAAACACGACTCAATGCACGGGACATGCGCCACCAGGGCAGCAGCGGCTTCTGGTGGCGAGCGGCACATGACTCGACCAAACACAGGCCTCCTGAGTGAAGAAGGGTTGTGAGACGTCTCAAAACCCTTCTTCAATCTCGAGCGGCACATGACTCGACCAAACACAGGCCTCCTCCCTCCCCTCCGCTGACCCCACCTCGTCCGACCCCCCCCCCCCCCCCCCCCCCCCCCCTTCCCCCCAGATCCACGTGCGGCATCAGAGCAGTGGCTTCTGGTGGCGAGCAGCAGTTGAGTCGAGTCGTCCCAACGCAACGCTTTTCCAAGTCCCCCTGCCTCACTCCTCCGTTTTATCCACCCAGATCCACGTGCGGCATCAGAACAGCGGCTTCTGGTGGCGAGCGGCGGATGGGAAGACGTGGAGTGGCAGTGTGGCGACCAGCAGCGACTTTGACCAGCCGGACGTGTCCCAGGCGCTCACTGTCATTCGTGTTAGCGCCACCACAGTGCGTGTCGTGTGTGTGTCTGTGTATGTGTCTGTGTGTGTGGATGGGAGAGGAGGGTGGGACGGGGCGGTAGTGTGTCTCAGGCGCTCACTGCCGTCATGGTGCGATCATGGGCGTATGGTCATTTCTGCATGTGTGTGTGTGGGTGGGAGAGGGGGGTGTGATGGGGCGGCAGTGTATCTCATCTCAGGCACTCACTGCTATTCACGCCATCACCGCCATGCCATGGTACGTCCTTAGTGGGAAAGACTCCTAAGTGGTGCCTTTCGCTTTCCCATGGTCCGTCCGTTTCCCCCCCACTCCCCACTCCACCGCTCCCAACCCAACTATCTCTCTGTGCATCTCTTTGGAGTGATACACTCCTCTGTCTAGCACTCCTCCTCTTCCCCCTCTTTTCCCACCCCTTCACAAACCAAGCTGCAGACGCCCAGTGCAGCAGCGTGTTCCCTGTTCAAGTCCCCTCCAGTATTTGAAGAAGTGTTTTGAGACGTCTCAAAACACTTCTGCAGACGCCCAGTGCAGCAGCGTGGTCCTGTTCAAGTCCCCTCCAGTATCCAACTCTCCTTCTCTCTCTTACCCTTTTCCTCTCCTCTCTTCCTCCGCTGCCCCTCCTTCCAACCAACCCCCCTCCCCAGATCCAGCTCCAAACTCCCAGCAGCACGTGCCACGTTAGTACAAGGCCCGGCCCCGCCTCTGTCTCTAACGTGCCACGTTTGTACAAGGCCCGGCCCCGCCTCTGTCTCTAACGTGCCACGTTTGTACAAGGCCCGGCCCCGCCTCTGTCTCTAACGTGCCACGTTTGTACAAGGCCCGGCCCCGCCTCTGTCTCTAACGTGCCACGTTTGTACAAGGCCCGGCCCCGCCTCTGTCTCTAACGTGCCACGTTTGTACAAGGCCCGGCCCCGCCTCTGTCTCTAACGTGCCACGTTTGTACAAGGCCCGGCCCCGCCTCTGTCTCTAACGTGCCACGTTTGTACAAGGCCCGGCCCCGCCTCTGTCTCTAACGTGCCACGTTTGTACAAGGCCCGGCCCCGCCTCTGTCTCTAACGTGCCACGTTTGTACAAGGCCCGGCCCCGCCTCTGTCTCTAACGTGCCACGTTTGTACAAGGCCCGGCCCCGCCCATATCCATCTCAAACGGTCCATCTCTCTGTCTCTGTGACCCCTTTCCTCTCCCATCCTCTCCTTTCCTCTCCCATCCGCCTCTCTCTCTCTCCCCCCCTCCACCGTCCCTCCCATCACCCACTCCCCACCAGATCAAGCTGCAGACCCCCTGCAGCACGTTCCTGTGCAAGGCGCCTCCCTCCCGACCAACGCGTTGTACCCGAGAGGCATTCTCGCCACCACTGCCGACGCCACCGACCCCCTCGCCACCTTGACACACGCATCAGCCACTCCCATTTCCCTCATCCATCCACCCCCCTCTGTCCCTCTGCCTTCCCGCCTGTCTTCCCCTGTCTTCTCTCGTCCTGCTCTCTCTCCCAACCCAACCCCCCCTCCCCCTCTCCAGATCAAGCTACAGACCCCCAGCAGCACGTTTCTGTGCAAGGCGCCGCCCTCCCCGGCCAACGCCTCATATCCAAGAGGCATTCTTGCCACCACTGCCGACGCTACAGACCCCCTCGCCACCTTCACCATCATCCCCATCCCCAACTCGCGCAGAGGCAGCAGCAGCACCATTGATGCTGCTGCTGCTACAGGCACTGACAGCAGCAATAGCAGCAGCAGCAGCAGCACTGGCAGCAGCGGTAACACCAGCAGCACCAGTGGAAGTGATTATCTAGGGTTAATTGCCCTGGCGAGTGCGGACGGGTATTACCTGTCCATGGGGGAGGTGGCTCCTGAGTTTGTTGACGTGGTAACCACGGGGGATCCGGCAGCGGGAGCGGGCGGCGACGAGTGGCTGGATGTGCGCGAGGTGATGACGGTGCCTGCCATCCGCGGCGTGAATTTGGGCGGCTGGCTGGTCGGCGAGGAGTGGATGAACCCGAAAACGTTTCAGTACATGGCGTGGGGGGATGGCACGCGGGTGAGTGAACTTGCGATGTGTGGGGCGGGGCGCCTAAAAAACTGTACATGGAGTGGGGGGATGGCACTCGGGTGAGTAGTGAGTAGTAGTAGGTTCTAGTTGCTGTGAGGTGCGTGAGGAGGTTTGAGTCTCTGAGTCGACTCAAAATTCATCTCGGCTGGTTGTTGGGCGAGGAGTGGATGAACCTGAAGGCGTTTGAGTAATTGGCGTGGGGGAATGGCACTCTCGGGTGAGTAGTGAGAAATAGTAGGTTCTAGTCGCTGTGAGGTGCGTGAGTGTTGAGTGTTTGAGTCGACTCAAAAGTCACCGTCGCTGGCTGGTGGGCAAGGAGTGGATGAACCCAAAGGCGTTTTAGTATACGGCATGGGGGGATGGCACTCGGGTGAGTAAGGGCGTATCCATGTTCGGGTCATGCGGAATTTGCGTTTGACCCGAAGTGGGCTGCCTAGCCGCGCGCGGCCCCAGCTTTGGGTCAATGTGCAGGTGTTGGGCGACTGACGTGCACGACCCACCACCAACCAATCACCTGGCTGCACGATTCTGTATTTACTGCAATTTTTTGGCGGTCGTCAGTCGAGTGTCACAAGTGGGCAATGTCCCACGTCTTACACCTCTGCACCCAACCACTCGGCAAATTGACCCCATTGACCATGAGTGTGTCTAAAATTTCCCGCGTCTCGCTCCCAACATTTGGGGATTCACGCCGGGAATTTTGACGATTGTGTTTTTTCGGTGGGTTTCTTGTGGTTTCGCGTGGGTCTTGCTAAGGATCTTTCGAACTGTTCTGGCATCCCTTCATTGGATGCGACTGTTGTGGGGAGTGTGATTTTGGCGCGAAAACCTTCGCAGCTCTTTGGGGGTCGCATGAGTTCGGAGGACCCAAAGTGGCGTTTTATGTTGTTTGGGTCATCCGCAAATCGCGGATGCCCGGAACAGTGCTCATGACCCGAACATGGATACGCCCTAAGTTTTCTTCTGAGACGCTTCAATCTTTTGTTGGAGTAAGCGGAGCTGCAGGCAGGGTTTTGAGACGTCTGAAAACACTTCTTCATAAGCGGTGCTGCAGGCAGGGCCATGGAAATCGGGTCTAATTTTAAGTCGACTCAAAATATTTTGTTGGAGTAAGCGGTGCTGCAGGCAGACCCATGGAAATCGGGTGAGGTGAATAGCTGTGATGACAGATGTGATGGGTCGCTGTGATGAGTTGCTGTGATGGGTCGCTGTGATGGGTCGCTGTGATGAGTCGCTGTGATGAATCGCTGTGATGAGTCGCTGTGATGAGTCGCTGTGATGAGTCGCTGTGATGAGTCGCTGTGATGAGTCGCTGTAATGAGTCGCTGTGATGAGTCGCTGTGATGAGTCGCTGTGATGAGTCGCTGTGATGAGTCGCTGTGATGAGTCGCTGTGATGAGTCGCTGTGATGAGTCGCTGTGATGAGTCGCTGTGATGAGTCGCTGTGATGACATGAAGGTGCAGTGAGTGGGCTTTGAGATGCCTCGAATCACTGTAACTAGTAGCGTGGGTTGGGTTATTGAGTCGACTAAAAAAGGCAGCTTCAAGGTGCCTCAAAGGGCCACATCAGCGCAATCAGCACAGGGGCAGAGAGAACCCTGTCTGTACATTCGCACCCTTTCGGATTTGAACCGCCCCCACCCCCATTCCGTGCCTCGTCATCCCCTCTGTGTGTTCTCCTCCCCGCAGGTTACATTCCAGTCAACACCCACAGACATGTACAGCAGTGCAGTCAGCACGGGCAGAGAACCCAACTGTCTGTTCATTCGCACCCTTTCACTCCCTCCCATTCCATGTCCCCGCGCCCACCCCCCAGGTGACATTCCAGTCCACCACCACAGACATGCACAGCAGTGTGTTGTGCACACAGATAGGTTCACTCAGACATGCACAGCAGTGCAGTCAGCACAGGCACAGAGAACCTATCTGTGTGTTCATTCACTCACACCCATTCCATGTCCCCCCGCCCGCCCGCAGGTGACATTCCAGTCCACCACCACAGACATGCACGTCAGTGCAGTGCAGTCAGCACAGGCAGGGCAGTGAACCCATCTGCCAGCTCATTCATTCGCACCCTTCCACTCACTCCCATTCGGTTGCCCATGATTCCCCCTGTGTGCCCTCCTCCCCGCAGGTCACATTCCAGTCCACCACCACGGACATGTACATCAGTGCAGTCAGTCAGCACAGGGTCAGAAAGTTCATCTCTCAGCTCATTCACACCCTTCCATTCACTTCCACTCCATGCCCCCCCCCCCCATCGCCCCCCTGGTCACATTCCAGTTCACCACCACGGACATGTACGTCAGTGCAGTCAGCACAGGCAGGGCAGTGAACCCATCCGTTTGCTCGTCTGCGCCCTTTGGCTCACCACCATTCCATGCCCCCCATCGCCCCCGCAGGTGACATTCCAGTCCACCACCACAGACATGTACATCAGTGCAGTCAGCATGGGTGCAGACGCTAAGGTACGTTCTCCGTTCAAAGGCGACTTCTGAGGTGCCTAAAAAGCTGGTGCCGAGGGTATGTAGCCGTTCACTTTTGAGACGCCACGCCTCACAAACAAAACGAAGGGACCACTGTAGGGTTTCGCACCACCGCCATGCTGCTGTTATCAGTCGTGTTTTGAGTCGACTCAAAGCACGACTCGTTTCGCACCGCCTTGCTGTTATCAGCGCAGACATTCTGATTCGTTCGTTTCCCTTCTGTCTCTGTTTCATGACATTCCCCGTACCGTATCCCCCATACCGTGCTCATTTGGTATCAGCACGTCTGATGATCCGATCCCTCACCAATCATCTGTCCTCCTTTCACAAATCCCTCATCCCCCTTTCCCCGTCCCTCTTCCCTCCTCATCCCTCTTTCCCCATCCCTCTTTCCTCCTCATCCCTCCTCACCCCCTTACCATATGTCGTTATTTCATTCTGCCGTTCTATCTCTCCCCAACCCCCGGCCCATCCCCACACGAACACCCCTCCCTCGTGTCGCCAGCTGGAGTGTAACGCGGCAGCGGTAACCATGTTACAATACTTCCAGCTACTCACCGTGCCAGGCGCTGCAGAGAACGTCCGCCAGGTGGGTGGGTGGGCTCTCTGTTGCTTTCAGCTGGGCTCTCTGTTGCTTTCAGGTGGGCCCTCTGTTGCTTTCAGGTGGGCCGTCTGTTGCCTTCAGGTGGGCGCTCTGTTGCCTTTAGGTGGGATCTTTGTTGCCTTCAGGTGGAATGCTTGTTGCCTTCAGGTGGGATCTCTGTTGCCTACAGGTGGGGATGATTTATACCTTGGAATGGGCTCTCTGTTAAAAAAAGGCGAGTTCTCTGTTGCGGTCAGGTGGGTGGGTCACACACCCACCACACCATCACGAGCGGTGGGGCAGATGGGGCACACTACTCACCTCACCACACTACTCACCTCACCACACTACTCACCTCACCACACTACTCACCTCACCACACTACTCACCTCACCACACTACTCACCTCACCACACTACTCACCTCACCACACTAATCACCTCACCACACTACTCACCTCACCACACTACTCACCTCACCACACTACTCACCTCACCGCACTACTCACCTCACCACACTACTCACCTCACCACACTACTCACCTCACCACACTACTCACCTCACCACACTACTCACCTCACCACACTACTCACCTCACCACACTACTCACCTCACCACACTACTCACCTCACCACACTACTCACCTCACCACACTACTCACCTCACCACACTACTCACCTCACCACACTACTCACCTCACCACACTACTCACCTCACCACACTACTCACCTCACCACACTACTCACCTCACCACACTACTCACCTCACCACACTACTCACCTCACCACACTACTCACCTCACCACACTACTCACCTCACCACACTACTCACCTCACCACACTACTCACCTCACCACACTACTCACCTCACCACACTACTCACCTCACCACACTACTCACCTCACCACACTACTCACCTCACCACACCACTCACCTCACCACACTACTCACCTCACCACACTACTCACCTCACAACACTACTCACCTCACCGCACTACTCACCTCACCACACTACTCACCTCACCACACTACTCACCTCACCACACTACTCACCTCACCACACTACTCACCTCACCACACTACTCACCTCACCACACTACTCACCTCACCACACTACTCACCTCACCACACTACTCACCTCACCACACTACTCACCTCACCACACTACTCACCTCACCACACTACTCACCTCACCACACCACTCACCTCACCACACCACTCACCTCACCACACTACTCACCTCACCACACTACTCACCTCACCGCACTACTCACCTCACCGCACTACTCACCTCACCACACTACTCACCTCACCACACTACTCACCTCACCACACTACTCACCTCACCACACTACTCACCTCACCACACTACTCACCTCACCACACTACTCACCTCACCACACTACTCACCTCACCACACTACTCACCTCACCACACTACTCACCTCACCACACTACTCACCTCACCACACTACTCACCTCACCACACTACTCACCTCACCACACTACTCACCTCACCACACTACTCACCTCACCACACTACTCACCTCACCACACTACTCACCTCACCACACTACTCACCTCACCACACTACTCACCTCACCACACTACTCACCTCACCACACTACTCACCTCACCACACTACTCACCTCACCACACTACTCACCTCACCACACTACTCACCTCACCACACTACTCACCTCACCACACTACTCACCTCACCACACTACTCACCTCACCACACTACTCACCTCACCACACTACTCACCTCACCACTCTACTCACCTCACCACACTACTCACCTCACCACACTACTCACCTCACCACACTACTCACCTCACCACACTACTCACCTCACCACACTACTCACCTCACCACACTACTCACCTCACCACACTACTCACCTCACCACACTACTCACCTCACCACACTACTCACCTCACCACACTAATCACCTCACCACACTACTCACCTCACCACACTACTCACCTCACCACACTACTCACCTCACCGCACTACTCACCTCACCACACTACTCACCTCACCACACTACTCACCTCACCACACTACTCACCTCACCACACTACTCACCTCACCACACTACTCACCTCACCACACTACTCACCTCACCACACTACTCACCTCACCACACTACTCACCTCACCACACTACTCACCTCACCACACTACTCACCTCACCACTACCTCACCACACTACTCACCTCACCACACTACTCACCTCACCACACTACTCACCTCACCACACTACTCACCTCACCACACTACTCACCTCACCACACTACTCACCTCACCACACTACTCACCTCACCACACTACTCACCTCACCACACTACTCACCTCACCACACTACTCACCTCACCACACTACTCACCTCACCACACTACTCACCTCACCACACTACTCACCTCACCACACTACTCACCTCACCACACCACTCACCTCACCACACTACTCACCTCACCACACTACTCACCTCACAACACTACTCACCTCACCGCACTACTCACCTCACCACACTACTCACCTCACCACACTACTCACCTCACCACACTACTCACCTCACCACACTACTCACCTCACCACACTACTCACCTCACCACACTACTCACCTCACCACACTACTCACCTCACCACACTACTCACCTCACCACACTACTCACCTCACCACACTACTCACCTCACCACACTACTCACCTCACCACACCACTCACCTCACCACACCACTCACCTCACCACACTACTCACCTCACCACACTACTCACCTCACCGCACTACTCACCTCACCGCACTACTCACCTCACCACACTACTCACCTCACCACACTACTCACCTCACCACACTACTCACCTCACCACACTACTCACCTCACCACACTACTCACCTCACCACACTACTCACCTCACCACACTACTCACCTCACCACACTACTCACCTCACCACACTACTCACCTCACCACACTACTCACCTCACCACACTACTCACCTCACCACACTACTCACCTCACCACACTACTCACCTCACCACACTACTCACCTCACCACACTACTCACCTCACCACACTACTCACCTCACCACACTACTCACCTCACCACACTACTCACCTCACCACACTACTCACCTCACCACACTACTCACCTCACCACACTACTCACCTCACCACACTACTCACCTCACCACACTACTCACCTCACCACACTACTCACCTCACCACACTACTCACCTCACCACACTACTCACCTCACCACTCTACTCACCTCACCACACTACTCACCTCACCACACTACTCACCTCACCACACTACTCACCTCACCACACTACTCACCTCACCACACTACTCACCTCACCACACTACTCACCTCACCACACTACTCACCTCACCACACTACTCACCTCACCACACTACTCACCTCACCGCACTACTGGGGCGTGTATGCCAGCACTACCACCGCCATGCAAGCTCCCATCCACCAATGTTCGCTCATCCCTCATGCAGCAGCAGCAATCTCTTCTCCTACCATTCTGCTCCCACCTCTCCACGCACACACACACACACCATCACAGGTGGTGGGCAGATGGGGCAGTACTGGGGCGCCACCACTTTGTGGACCAGGGACAACGAGTCGCAGGGCAGCAGAAGTTTTTATTTTGGCTCAAATTTTCTCGGTTCTTGCTCCCTTCCTCCCTGCACGGACACCCATCCACTACAGGTGGTGGGGCAGATGGGGCAGTACTGGGGCGTGTATACCGGCACCACCACAGTGTGGACTCATAAAGACAATGAGCCTCAGGGCGCCAGCACTAACTGCTTTCACTCATTTCTGTCAACTCTTTCTCCCCTTCTCCCCTCCACCCACCCACGTGCATGACTGCAGGTGGTGGGACAGATGGGGCAGTACTGGGGCGTGTATACCGGCGTCACCACAGTGTGGACGAGGGACAATGAGCCTCAGGGTGGCAGCAACGCCTTCACACTCTCTCTTGCCCCTTCATTCGTGCACTCTTCCCACCCATCCACTGCAGGTGGTGGGGCAGATGGGGCAGTACTGGGGCGTGTATACCGGCGCCACCACTTTGTGGACCAGGGACAACGAGTCACAGGGCAGCAACACTACTTTCTCCTGTCTCTAATTTCCCCTCCATTTGTGCTCCCCCCCCCCACCACCCCAACTCACACATGACTGCAGGTGGTGGGGCAGATGGGGCAGTACTGGGGCGTGTGAGCCTAGTTTTGAGCTGACTCAAAACTGTACTGGGGCGTGTGAGCCTAGTTTTGAGCCGAATCAAAACTGTACTGGGGCGTGTGAGCCTAGTTTTGAGC